CTCGTGCAGCCAATCGGCGAGGGCGCCGTGCCGCGCGGGCTTCTGGGAGTTGCAGTCCATTTCCTCTGCTCCTTTCCTGAGCCGGTCAAGTGTTCTAGGGTTTGAATAAGACAAGTTCAAACTGAGTCAGAGATCCTGGGTCTTTCCCTACAGGCTTCTCCGGCAGCTCTGAGCTTTGTGCCAGTCATACCACGACATGAGTACTGTAGGGCAGGTGAACGAAAAATTTAAAGTGGTGCCAAAAAAGTAGGTTATCAAGGTAAATAATAGTTTAATGCAATATATGTAAAAGTCAAAATCAGGGGAAAAAGAAAAAGCCCATAATGAACAAAGTATCAACATTTTATATGAAAACAAGATCTGACCCTGCATGTTTACGACTTATTTCACTTCCTTCATGGTAGTCTGGGCCCTGGTTATAGGATAGTCGGCTATTTCCTTCAAAATACACTTCTCCAAAAGACAGATACCATCCGATACTGCTTATATGTGGAGTCTAAAAAAATGATGTAAATGAACTTGTTTACAAAACAGAAATAGATGCCAGACACAGAAAACAAACTTATGTTTACCAAAGGAGAAAGAGGGGGGAGGGATAAATTTGGAGCTTGGGAGTAACATATATAAAATAGATAACCAACAGGGACCTCCCTTACAGCACAGGGAACTATATTCAATATCTTGTAATAACCTATACTGGAGAAGACCTGAAAAAGAATAGATTTATATATATATATATATATATATATATATATATATATATACACACACACACACACACACACACATATACACACACACACATATATATCTGAAACACTTTGCTGTACACCTGAAACACAACATTGCAAGTCACCTGTACTTCAATTTAAAAAAATATAGTGAGTAAAACACACACACACACAAAAGCGATAACGCTTCTCCGATTGTGCCCCTACAGAACATTAACAATCCTGGCCTCTGTATTTTAAAAAAAGGAATTTATATAAAGTCATAGATAAATGTATTTAAAGAAGTCATAGAATGAATGGATATCATCTTTGGAATGCTTTCTACACAAACACCTTGCTAGGCCTCACTTAATACATACAATAATCCTGCACTTATTAGAATGTCAATTTTGCAATTTAGGAAACTGAGGCTTAGATTAGGAAATTATCCCCAAGTCACATGGTTGTTGGGTGGCAAAACTGGGGTTTAAACCCAGGACAATCTGATTCCTAAAGTCAAGATTCCATATATATCAGGAATTGGGGGAGGGGGGTTGGGTCCCTTTCTCTCTCTCAAAAACAAAGATCTATGGTCTAAGATTTTGCTTGGAATGCACACTCAGTAATGAATCTATGTACTAAGAACCCTTATGCTCCAATAGGCCTATCTGTTGTGTCTAAAACTCTATCACTATGGAATTGCAAGAACCAAACACTGAATAATGTCATAGGAAACTCACCTTGAGTCTGAACCAAGCTAAAATCAACCCATCTCTTTTGACAGTCCCATTGTATTTGTACAAATCAGTTATAATCAGCTATCTTGTCCTTTACACTAGTCTATTAATTCTTCAAGACCAGAAACTGTATCCTTATCTCCTAAGACACACTTGGCAGCTGGTATGTTTCAAAGTTCAGACAATACATTGCAGGGAGTGAGGGTGTGTCTGGGTACATTTGAAACGGTAGGACAAGCCAAACAGAAGTCTACCTGCAAAGGGCCCGAGGACCCATGGAGGACAGTTCAAGCTCTGTCCACTGCTAAGTTTGATGCCTGGATTTGTCAGGGGAACTGGGTGTGGGGGTGGGGATGAACCCATTTTTTGTGTGTGGGGATATGAGTCCTGAAGAGCTTCCAGAAAAGGACTCAACCTCAGGGAAGAAGCCATCTGACACAGTGAACTTGATCCAGAAGTAAATCTCAAGAATTTGGAGGAAGCAGAGATTCTGAGTTTATGCACTGATTCTTAATCAGCTCTGTCCCCAGCTCTGTTAGTTCTTATGACTGTTGTTAACAAACTGCCACAAACTTGGTGACTTAAAACAAATTGTGTTCTCTTACAGTTCTAGAGGCCAGAGTCTGAAGTGAGTTGTTTGGGGCTAAAATTAAGACGTTGACAGGCACCCTTCCCTAGCAGGCTCTAAGGAAGAGTGTTTCCTTTGCCTTTTCTAGCAGCCAAAGCTGCATTACTGGGCTCAGGGTCCTTTTCTCTGTCTTCAGAGCCAGCAGCATAGCGTCTTTTCTCTGTGACTCTGCTTCCATCCTATGGCCTGCTTCTCATCTGTGTTAAATCTCCCTCTGCATCCTTCTTCTAAGGACCCTTGCCATTGCACTTAGAGACCCTGGATAATCCAGGTGAGTGTTTCCTTGTGGATCCTTCTGGGGGTGAGGGACAGAAGACAGGAGAAGAGAGAAGGATGGTAGGATATGGAGAAAAGTATCCATCAGTTGGTCAGAAGCCAAGTCACTAGAGGCAATGAACTTGCAAGATACTAAATCTTGTAAATGAGCCCCTAGAGACAATCTCGTGCCCTCATATCATATCCCCACTCTTTGAGCTCATCTAAAATGCCACCAGTCACATGAAGCTTTTCTAGATTCCACCCTCTTCATCTGAATTGTACATGATTGTTCCTGTGCTTGGGCCTTAGTGTCACTTTTTATAGAAACTTGGAATTCCAGGGCTGGCCAAGACCTTACAGCTCATTCAGTTTAGAGTCTAAGCTGAAATCTAGATGGTTATCAATCTACATAGACACTTCTGCTGGGAAACTTTCTGATTTCCTGACATTGCCTGTTCCACTTAAATGACTCCTTGACTATTAAAAAACGTTTACTTGTGTTGAGCAAAATTGTGGCTCTTTCTGTCTACACATTGTGATTAAGTGCCGCACACCTGCTAATGGCCATGGATAAGGAAATACTTTCAGGAGCTCACAGCCTAGAGTGCAGCTCTGATCTGGGGACTCCATGGATGGATTTGCGGGGAACCTACAGACCCCTGAAATTGGAAGGATGATTCTATTTATGTGCATTTTTTTTTCTAGGGAGAGGTAGCTTTCATCACATGCTTAAAGAGGCCCATGACACAAGAAAGAAAATGATTACTGGTCTCGAAATTACCCTTCTGTGATATCCTCCCATTAGCCCTACTGGAAGCCCCTGGAGCTATGCATCTTCTCTCTTAAGACATTTGAGAGCCTTGACACAAGTTCTCTCCTCTTCAGAATTATTCTCAGCAGCAATTATTGCCAACCCTTGTGTACAACATCACATGAGCCACTGTGCCATTTCAGTCCATCTTCCCAAATACAATTTGGTTTGTCTAAGTCCCAGTGGCAAATTGTATTTTTGAAAGATAGGCACAACAAAATCTGTTATCTCACATGTAATTCCAGAGCAGGGCTGTCCAACAGAAGCTTCTGCAATGATGGAAATAGTCTAAGTCTTCATTTGGCCAGTGAGCACTTGAAATGTGGCTAGTGTGACTGAGGAACTGCATTTCTAATTTTATTCAATTTTAGTTAATTTAAATGTAAACAGCCATGTGTAGCTGGTGGCTGCTATATTGCTCTGTGTCATTCTAGAACCTTACTTTTCCCATCAGGAAGTGGAATTAATTCTCCTCTGCTTGCATCTCAGTGGGTTTGTAACTGGCTTGTAACCAACAGATGGATAGAATACAGCAGAAGTGACGCTGGGTGACTTCTGAGGCTAGGTTAGAAAAATATGCAACTTTCACCTTACAATTTACCTCTAATGGTCTGGTCTCTGGCTGGCTGGAAGATACCCCTCTCCTTATCCTCCCCACCCATTCTCTCCCCATCTGTCTTCCATCCTCCAGCCCCCACAAAAGGATCCGGGACAAAACTTGGAAGCAACCAAGATGTCCTTCAGTAGGCAAATGGGTTAATAAACTGGGATACATCTAGACAATGCAATATTATCTCAGTGCTAAAAAGAAATGAGCTATCGAGCCACGAAAAGACAGAGGACCCTTAAATGTATATTATTAAGTGAAAGAAGCCAATCTGAAAAGGCCACATACTACAAGATTCCAATTATCTGACATTGTGGAAAAGACAAAATTATGACAGTAAAAAGATCAATGGTTGCTAGGGCTTAGTGGGGAGGAATGAATAGGTGGAGCATAGAGGATTTTTAGGGCAGTCTGACTATTCTTTAATACCATAATGATGGTACATGTCATTATACATTTGTCCTAACACGTAGCATATACAACACCCAG